CTTTCAGACGGAACATCTACAGTAACATTTGACCTGATACGAGAACACACTGACAAAGACCCTGTCCTAGCGAAGCTCCGAGAATACATATCTACTTCATGGCACAGTCGTACCAAGATCCAACCTGTTACTTCCATACTATGCCACAAGGTAGGAGCTTTCGACCGTGAGCAACTGCATTATTAGGGGTGAGCAGTTTGTGCTCCCTGAGACCATTATTCCCCTGATAGTTACATGTGCGCATGAAGGTCATCCAGGGATTGTGCGAACAAAAGTTCGGATACGACAACGCTATTGGTGGCCGAAGTTGAATACCAGCTTCGAGGCGGTTATTCGGGAATGTTACGCCTGTCAACAATCCGATAAGAATGCGAGGCCCCTGAATGCTCCAGTCCAACATATCGTGTACCCAATGAAGCCATGGGCAAAAATTGCCATCGATATTATGGGCCCGTTTGCCAATGCACCCTCGCAGAAGCGAAACGTGCTAGTGGCTACCTGTTTCTACAGTAAATGGCCAGAGGCTATTCTATGCGGGGACGTAACTACAGCCGTCATCATAAAGTGGCTCCGTTGTTTGTTTGCAGGTACGGTTTGCCAGGAGAAATAGTCACTGATAACGGCCCACAGTTTCGAAGTAATATGCTGAATTCCTAAGGCACAATGGTATCAGACACACGAGGACTGTACCTTCTAATTCTGTAGCGAATTTACTCGTCGAACGACTTAATCGTACTTTGAAAGAATCTCTGCAAATCCTTCGGCTTTCGGGAGGATACTAGGATGATGTGTTGATATCTACATTGGAAGTATACAGAACCACTCAACATACTGCAACGGCAACGACCTTTTCGGAGCTAATGCTAGGGCGAACAATTCGAAATCGATTAAATGCAGCCTTTACATCCGAAGAAACTGCCGATCACAGAGAATACGAAAGACGAGCTGTTTCCCAGGCTAAATTTAGACGCGTTGGGAGAATATTTGTTCGTGTGTGACTACCTTATTCCCAGAAAGCAGGCAATGTGTTCGGACCCCGTGTGGAATCTATGTGCCCGCCAAGAACTGGCAAGTAGGCTGATGGGACAAAGGGGAATGCAAGACGGCTACATACAGCGCTTTCCCAACCTGCTATTGAAGAGACGAACACACGTACAATACAGCGCTCGGTACAAACTAATACAAAACTACGACGTTCCAGTCGGATACGCCGCCCTGCCTACCGATGCGCTTTAACGAGTAACTCCACATGACACTTCTTTGGGGTGCTGACATTAAATTAGCTCGTTCATGGATATGTAATTCTTATGTTGTTACGAACAGAGATGGGGACAATGTCGTGTTTAACTACTGCTTTGTTTTTGTCCTCGATGCGCTTTATCCTACTCACAGTTCTATTTAGCACTCGTTGACCTGCCATATGACCTTACCTTTGACTGATTGCAGTTCGGACCTCTATCGATTTAAGTGTACTGCGCATGTGTGCAGACAGTTTTTCTACACATGCGTGCTGGTGCTGCTCTGGTCCGCTGCATTTACGGGATACGACAGATAAGCAAAAAGAAATATCGTCCTAGATGTTCAGTTGTTCTGAAACCAGGTTTCGAGGTATTCATCTTACCTGAAAACATAAGACGGAAACTTTAGGAGTAGGTATGGATGCAACTATATTCAAATGCTAAAGTGAAGTAATACCGATCAATTTGTGGATCCGTCTCTTGAGTGCCTTCTTCCATTCACTGTCTTTCATCATAGTCTTGCATCCGCACTTCCACGCCCCCTCTGGTGGTGTGCTAATGTGGCTGAAGCACGAGTAAGTCAACACCGTATAAACTCATGTGGGACTGATGTCAGAATTACGGATAATAAGTACTCCAACCATTCAGCCCGTTCCAGCCTTCGCCTCAAGTGAATCCGTCACCTTATTTTCTCGCCAGTTGGTCTGGGGCAATTCGCTTTACGTGGGCGTTATTAATCACCTTGGAAGCTTCAATCCGTCACAAAAGATCGATCCATTCGTGCTCTTCAATGTGAAGAATACGGGAAGGAATTGAGACAATAACAAGTAAATGGTACGTGCCTGGCTTGCCGAACAACCTCCTTGTGGTGCCAGCTGGATGGTTCGGGATTTCCACGTTCTAGCAAATGGTTCGGCGGCAGTGTTCTAGCACGTGGTGGGTTTTCGCCTGGCAAGTGTTCTCCCTATAAAAAACCACATATATCCGTTTAATAACACTGTGACGTGGCGGACGTGACTCACCACTAAATAAAGTCACTGCCCCTTGCTTCATCCTGGCGAAGCATTGTATTCCAATAACGTTATGCTGTAGTTCTGGGGAGCATTGGACCCCTGTTTGACAAAGGAACAAACGAAAGGCGTATGAACTGAGCAATCAGTCACCGGCTCCCAATGGGCGAGATTCCCTGAATTCGCTCCGCTGCCTTGCGGACAGGCTATTCAGCCAAAGGCTCGGGGTGGTGTCCCCTAAGTCAACACCCTACTTCGGCTTGGGCAACCGGGTAGTATCTCGCCCTCTGACGAAACCATGGACATTATTGTGTTGTGTTTTCTTTTACAATTTCTGTACCTTCTCTGGAGTCCCATGGTTTCTGATGGCATTATATCTATTCGTAGACCTTTGCAAATATATGAATATAAATATATATATATATATACATGTCTCACTAGAATAAAATGTAGTATGAAGATTGTCTGATTCAGCTTGCAAAAGCAATCGTCGAGGACAAGTAAGCGTTCGAAGAATTTATAAACAGGGCAGCGCCTGGAAGATTTTCAGGTGGAACGATAGTTCTACCTCAGAAGTCGCTGGAAACCCTAGGGCTAACAAGGAAGAGTCAAGGTCGTATATTGACAAGACATGGTGTGACACCAACTAGTCGTAACTGGATGGTAAATAGCATTAATTTATATCTCCAGACTTGCCTAATACATTTTAGTTGAAAGGAAATGTAATGCATTATCTGGCTAATGTATCCTTCACTCCTCGTCATTGTGAGACACCGGCAAGACTTGGGTACAGTCGCCTTGGAACTTGACATTTTTCCCCTATATTCCACTGAGTACCCTAACTCTCTTGTGGTACCTGAACCAACGGTCGAACCATATAGTAGCAATTCTCAGCGGCCTGATTGAGCATCCTAAGCCCGTGCGTAAGGTATCCAAGCCGTATCCAGGTCGCTGGGTATCGAGGACGGTACTGGATCATAGTAAAATCGCTTCAGATCATTTCGTGTTCTAGATCGAAACTGAAGGTCCAGAACTTCGGCTACAATAATGGTTACACTTCTCGCCTTATGATGATGCGACTGCTGTAGCCCAGCGCAACGTTGACTGCAGTCCAGCTTTCGTTCAGGTCTGCTGAATGACTGGACGCCACTTTTTACCTTCAATGTTCCAATGTTGCATATATTTTGATATTCCAACTTAATCATTACCGCGATGAGTAAACGCATACCACATTCTTTCCCTGCGCTGTTTACATTGACAGGTCGGCGTCAAAGATCATTTTTAGGATCTGAAAACTCCCACAGGGCGGAGGCATGTGGACTCATCGAATCGGCACTCACCTCCATGGAGACTTCTATCCCGTTGGTGAACAGGCTGTGTTCAATTACCGGAGATCGATCGATCTCTTCCTCCTCGTCTTTCTCCGCGGAAAACCATACAGAGGCCATGGAATCAACCAACCAGATTGTGTGTTCACCGTACTGGCTGATCTCTCCTACACAGTCTTACAGTAATCGTTACAGCAAAATGGAAGAAGAGCCAGTTAGCATAGCCTCGCAATCACGTCAGCAGGGTGAAAGCTTCTGCCTGAATTTTCCTCATGCAAATCCCACCCAGGAGTATTGCTCGTCGGAAGTGGCAGTGCTCACATGTAATCATCCGTCATGCAATTGTTTGGGGCTCCCCTATTTGAGTGAGGACTCAAACTACACAACGGTTCCAGAGATGTGTTCCTCTCCAACGTCAGTTCGTTCACCAAAATGGTCCTCATCAACTTCTTCACTCTCCAACTCCTCCAGTCGGACGTATCAGACTCCAACTCACTTAAGCGTAGCCAGTGTTGTTTCATCGGTACAGTTGGAAGTTGGTCCCGGTAACCCCATGAATGTTCAGCCCACGGCATCACCTTCTTTTCGGCCACTCGAACGAACATATGAGACAGTTTCATCATATGATCACAACACATACCCCATGACATTGGGGGTGGACTTTGTTCCTGATCCAACGGCTCAGCACTTCCCGGGACCAGTTGGCATGGATACAAAGTCACACATGAATATGTCTGGAGCCACATTGAATGAAGCCCCCGACACACCAAAAGGACTAGCGCAAAATGAGGAGGGAAGGGATACAGAATTTGTATGGAATGCGCAGTTTACACATTCGACAGCATGCGCCTCGTCCGAAGGGCAACCAGTGTATTGGACTGTTGATTCGTTCTCGGACGACTTAATACAGATCAGTGGGTTTGGCTATCCTGGTGTCCTCGATTCGAACGATTACGGGGAACAGTCTTACCGGTCACATGCGCACATACAAGACGCGCTCTATGATAGCGGTGGGGGGAAACGGACTACACCTTCTGGTTGCCCCAATCCTTTGGCATCGGAAGATGCCCGGTCGAATATCTTCCGGTGGTCCGACACGTCGGCATTTTCTGCTCTGACAAGTTTAGGAGATACGGAACCCTTTATGGTTCGTTTTCAAGAGCAGGACAAGCAGAACACAGATGCCAGAACATGTTCAAGTGGATCGAGGCCTCAGTGGGTTGAAACACCACGCGGAGCGCATTGGTTCACCGACGATGCGCAGCAAGAAGCTTGTGCAACAGGAACTTACGAAAAGCCTGACATTCTCGAAGCCACCGAGGCTACGTATGAGCCCATCGATTATCTAGTGGAAAGACTGGACCCTCAGACAACCGTAACGTTTGTGGAGGCGGGATCCGCTCGATTTATACATTCTGTGGACACGCAAAGTTGGACCAATACGGCCAAGACTGATTTTGGTACGTGTATTAATACCCTTGGTTCAATAGGCCCATGACTAGTGTGATTTCCAACTGAAGCTATGTACAAATGCGCTGCGCGAACGAAGACTATAAATCCAACTCCTACGCTTTATCTCCTAATGCACACACACACACACACACACACACACACTGACCGCACATTTGATGCTCATGTTGTCGGTGTATGGTTGATTACATGGGTTTGAATCATTGCGAAGACCGGTGAAATGAATGGCGGTCCACACTATCCGGTGATTTTGTCAGTGTCACGATTAATTTTTGCCTTTTATCTATTGCCTAATGACGCACTATTTATGATTTTTTTATTTCTGTGCATGGAATGAAAAACACTATTTCTGGTTGTCTGAGCCAAGCACCTTGAATTGAAAATCAAACGTGTTTTTCCGAAGGGGGTGTGAATTTCGGCGGGCTGTTTGGTACAGTCGAATCAACAGTTGTCCAGTTTATCAGGGTAGGTTGTTCCAAGTGATCGGAAATTGTTATATCGCCCCCGACTGCTTCCACCATCTGATAGTGAGAAGAGCAGACGAGCCGGGACCGGAGTATATCTGTCTCAGTAGGCAAATCAATGAAATTCAATAATTAATAATAGTAATAATGTGTCAGCTGTACGCCGTAACGGCGCTTCGCTGCCACGCGATCACCACCAGTCGGCCACCTCTACGCGGATTATGAACCGGTGACTTTATGTTTGCAAACCAGACGCGCAGACCATTCGGCCACCGGCTGATTTCACATCTCAAGCTGAACTTAACTGGTAGGTTGGCGCTGAAGCTCAGGTTGAGTTCCATTGGAATGTGGGAGATTTGCGCAGTTGACTAGAACAGCTCCCATCCGAGGTTCGAACAATACGACTCGAATGATTGTTCCCTCTAAAAGAAACGACTTTCCTATATGGGGTCATACGGCGCAATGCAGTGCCGGTCCATGTTAGCAATAATTGCGAATGCAGTAAGGAAAATTCGAGGCGGTGCAGCGAAGGAGTATATTGCTATCGTGCATCACGCGTCCGCATGCGTATGCTCGCGCATCGGCCCCATCCAGGGACGACTGCGTTGACTTCTCGTACAGCAGACTAGAATGAAATCCTTCCAGAGGAATTGGTCAAATTGACCAACCTCTTTGTAGGGTAGCGAGACAGGGACCGGCATATTTTACATTCACATAAGGGAAAAGAATGACATATGGACGGTTGCGGGCCCGTCAAATATCCCCGCAAAAACGCGCCAGAATCTCCGACAGAATGGCTGTAGGAAGCGGGGTCCAATTCCTCCCCACAACGCAGCAGTGTTCAGTCACTCCGAGACGCAGCCCAACTGCGCACCTGCTGACAATGTTCTTCTACAAACTACCACCCCGTTGTGGTAGCTATTTTCCCTAACTTAATGACCCACAGCATTGGCTGTACTTTGCCCTTTGTTGGTCGTAAAAGAGCCTTCAGAGGACCACTTGTCTTGCTTCCTCTTCTCCTTAGTTGGGAGTCGGTCGGTCACGTGATTTAATGTGCGTCGATAGCCGGGCAGCCACTAGCGCGCGTCTACCGTAACCCCTTCTCGTGTGCGTCCGTTCCGAGGGCTCAGCGTGTACCTGAATACGTGCTGCTAGGATCGTTCTCAAGCTCGTTCAATTTCCGTCTTACCAGCGCGTACCCCGGGCTAAGCTAACGCCATCAGGTCAGCGCAAGTCCGTTCGATTGGCCAGCGTTCCAAGCCGTTACCGTAGGCGTGCTCCAACCGTGCCAGTGACAATCTTAGCAGGCATCTACGCAATTATAACAACAACCATGGTCTGCGGTTAGATGGGTAGGCAGCAACGTCCGAACTGTTTGATCAAAATGGAATACTAACCCATAAGCTGACAACCCGTGAGGTTGGTGCATAGCTCTCCGGTTTCCGGTTTGTCCTATTTGACTAGTGCAGATCACTTGAAGTTTACTGAGACCAGTACTCACATGACACCAGTAGCCATAGTGGCAACGGATGTTATTGACTGTATTGCTTGACAGAACTATGCAAAAGTGATGCTGGTATATATATGCCGTTCGAAATTGTGACCGGTCTCAGTAGCGAACCGTGGCCCGTCCAGAATTGCGTTTTAGTGGAACTTGTCGGGCAGCACCCAAGCTTACCACATTGATTCCACATTGCACCGGGAGTGTAGTGCACATTGGGTGTGTAGACAGTGAATAATGGCTTAGGTGGCGCCGATTATTCTGGTCAAGTAAGGGGAGCCACATGTTCTTCTCCATCCCGATAGCTCATAAGTCACTAGAGATGGCTGTGTAAAAAAGTGTACACTTATTGCAATGCTGCCATTCGGTCTTTCCTTCATCTCAGATGTACTACCACAAGCGTACCGTGACCTCCTCAAGTTGAGTGATCTCGAATCGCTCGGTACACCCGATTGACAGGTTTCAGGAAGGCTTGTGCAGTCTACACATACATCATATACACTGTGATCGGAGGGTCATTTGAATCCCTCGTTGTGTGAGTGGATAGCGACGCGAAATATGGACGGCGATTCCCTTTGAAAGTAACCTCAACCAATACGGCGCCCGTAACTGAGTTGGCTGCGATTCACATAAGACGAACCGTGGTTCAGATAAAAATTCCGTATCTTAATTCATTCACACACACACGGATGCTTCAAAATGACCCAGCTATCCCTCATTATCCGTTATGCCATGCTTTGCTCTTCGTGACTCGGTGGCGAAAGGCGTACAGCTTACGGTTTACTTTCCAATGTTCTCCATTTCGATGCGTGCTATCTCTACCTGATGAGCAAATACGGTCGAAACACGTCGTGGAGTACAGTGCTTTCGGATGGGCAATACCCAGTATTCATACGCATGGTGTTTCATGCGAAATGTGTAAGCACTGATGTGGAATTCAATGGTTTCCGGCGCGCTCGGGTTAACCGAATCTGTTATAGCACCCCTATTCGAAGGAATCAACTGACCATTTTAGAGTGGTAAAACGTTATGTGCACCAACTACTGCCTCGCGGGTCTTGATTGCCGAACAGAAGCTATCCTATACAGTAATTTCAAATGGGAGACTAACGCGAACGCAATGGCTGAACGGCGAACACGAGGGACGAGAGAAGACTGATATTTTTAGCGTGAAGCGGGAATCATGGAAAAGGGCATGTCAATGTGGACAAGCCCTATGAAAATGTTGCTGAACCTACGCAGTACTGTATGGTTTTGTGGGAATATTGTGTTTCCCGTAATAGAACCAATAACACTTCCACATTTAAGTGAGGTCCATCGCGGCCAGTTTCCAAATCAGATAGTCGTCCATATGCCCGGAAAAGCACTAGACTGCAGTTTCAGCCTGTTGGGCATCGTCAGTAGTGCGCATCCAGCGGATCCAGCAGGATTCGAACCAATGACCACCAGCTGCTTGAACCGCCAGTCAGCAACTTATGCCACTGGGCCACGGAGGACAGCTTCGGACCGTCATGATTTACAAGCTAACTGCGATATAGCACGTCTTATCCTCCACTGCCATGCAAGTTACGAACGTTGCAGCGGACAGGGTTGGCCCCGAAAGACAGTAGCTTTCATATTTGACTCTATTTGTTCGAATAAGAGGGAGTACAATGTTGATCTCGGTATAGGCAGGTGCAGGTCCATGGGGATGAGCTGTCTGTCTGTTCACACACAGCTTTAGCTCTCGAAGAAGTTTGGACAATGACTCCGATGCATTTAGTTGCAAATATATTGGCGAAAAATAGTTGACTCAAACGACTTTGCTTCAACTGGTTGGGACCAGTTAAACACCTTTGAAGTTACGACTCATATTCGATTTGTGGCTTGTTGTCATGACGTTGCACACACTGGTTGCTTTGACACAGGCATCGAAACCAAATGTTCCACATCAGATCTCTAATTGGAACAGGGGTTATCGCAGCGGTGTTCCGGTGACAAGTGTAGATGACGGATAGTGAGATGGACGACAGCAAACCTCGTGTGTGATGATGACCCGATAAACATCTTGGCGTCCTGCCAACACGGTAACAAACAACGGCGCACACATAGCAAACCGATCGGTTGCCACATTAGTGAAGCATCCGAAGACCGTGATTCAGGCAGTCCACATTAGAGTGGAAGATTCAGCGCACCGATGACTTGGTCACCACCACCCTGTCGAAATGTCTAGCTGCCCACCCACTAGCTTTGTTCTCTAGTAATTTTCCGCAAGGTTGAGCACAATAACACGAGCGCACGCACGCACGCGCGTACGCACACAGGGGTCAATGAACAGGGCTTATGAACTGACCTGATTTTATGCTTGTGAGACGACAGCTAATGCGGATAATAAAGATGATGACGATGATGATGACGAAGATGATGCAACTGACCAACTGTGTTGAAAGCGCTCCGCGACAGTTGTGAGTATACGTGGCATTCTTTTGTCCGTCACATCGATCGCAACGGTATGTGTGCTGTTGAATCGGTGCCGAGTGAGTGATGGGTTCACCACTAGCAACCAGTAACTTAGTGACCGAGGTTACCCGAGATGGCCATGGGTGTGATGGCTGGGGCTAGTCGTTGCAACAATCCGTCTGCTCAAATTTACGGCACGACAGTGTCTTCTGGAGTCAAACCTCACCCTAGTGTCACGCTGCGGCCGCTTCGGCGTGCAGAAATTCCGATTGCACTGGGTTGATTACGATGACACACCTTACCTAACTCTTTTTACAGAAGAGTAGTAGGGGGAGTTGAATGGTATAGGTAGAAATTCGTCACATCTAGACTCACTCAGATAGCCGCCACACGCCCGGAAAAGCACTGTACGCGCGTTTCACCCTTTCGGGAATCATCAGCAGTGCGCATTCCATCGGACCCCTGGTAGGGCTCGAACCCGCAACTCGACTGTTGCCAGTCCGTGGTTGAGACCACTGAGCTACGGGAGACGGCAATGACCATCGTGAATAAGTTACTAGATGTGATATAGCGCCGCTCACTATCCACTGACTTACACGTTACTGCCGTGCAGAGGACAGGGTAGCCCCCTCACCAAGCGACGAGCTTAACAAACTTAAGCCGCCAATTATCTTATGGCATTATAAGCAGTTTGTTCTGCGTACTGATTACAGGAGAGTAGTAGGGGGAGTTGAATGGTAT